CTTAGCCTTCCTCCAGGGTTCCCAAGCTCCTCCAACAGTCCCATCCCCATTGCCCAGCCTTCTCTCCTCCTACAACCTCCCCTCCCGTTCTTTGTCCCTCACACATCCTCTTTCCCTGGCTCTCCTTCCAGGCCCTGCTGGAGGGGCAGTGAGGGGAGAATCGAATCTGCAGCGCCCACTCCTGCCCCCCTTTCTCGCCTCTTGTCTTGAGCAGACAAGATGTTTTCCCTTTCCTTCCAGGCCCTGAATGGACTTATTCTCTTCGAGAGGCTCGGCCCCTCTCCAGCCTCCTCCCCAGGGCGTGAGTTCTGACCCCAGCTCCTCCCCCACCCCCTCTTCTGCCGCGACTCCGATAGCTCCGCCCTTTCTGAGCAGCCCACCAGCACTGAGCTTTGTCAGTCAGCCCTGGAGTCTCCCAGGGACCCGGGATGTGTGGCGGGTGGGCTTGCTATGGAGGGAAAGGCGGGATCTTTGTAAAAGGAAGGACCGACCAGTAGTTACTCGGGGTACTCAGGGGAATCGCTAATCACCCTCGCCGGAGCCGGGTGGGTGGGGGAGAGGATAACTACAGCGTACCCTCCTTTTGGGGCTCGTGAAGCTAAAGAAGCAAACCAAAGCTTTCATGGTTCTAAAGATCAAGTTCTATTACACCCTTTGCTCTGTGTGTGACCTTGGACAAGTTCTTTTACCTTTAGTAATCTTGGGATTGCTCTGCGGGAGAAGGATGGGCAATCTCCTTCCATGCGATTAACTGCCTCGGAAAACCTGCTAGAGGGTCAGCTGTGGGTGGTTCTGACTCGGCATTAACGCAACAACAACAATTTTGGAATGACTCTTTTGTGAAAGGGTACCAATAATACCCATCTCCTCTGGTGTGCCAGGACTCAGTGAAACGAGAGGACTGTGGATGTAGGACAGAGTGGCAGCTTTTCTAACTGCATATACCGTTCTTTTTTTTTTAATTATTATTAAATTTTATTAGTTTTAATGAACATTTACAGGGATTTTGGGTTTTCATTCCTTCATTGCTGCACCATTCTCTCTACCCTCCTCCCCAGTTTGTTCTTCTTCCCCCGCCATCCGAATGTCTGTTTTAATTGTCCAATTGCCACAGTGCTTGTCAAAGACAGTTCTGATTAATCTCCTTTGTCAGTGTGTCCTTTGCCATTCCCTATCACTCCTCCCTGAGAGAGACTTCACCCTGATTCATAAGGAAAAGGGGATGGCGTATTCTCTTAGCTACTTCCTGCTGAAAAGTGACGCTGTGGGTGCGTATACCGGTTCTTTATTCGTGGGAAGAAGGCCACCCCTAACTCAGACTCCAGCTTTGACCCTGTTGGTTTCTGGAAGGCTCTGTGTACAATACCCCTGTGCAAATCACTGTTTATGTGTGTTATGGATTGAATTATATCCCCCAAAAACATGGTTGTAAAACCCAACTTTTATGCATGTGATCGATCATTTGGATTGTCTCAAATGGGTTGTCCAGGTCATGCTAAAGAAGCAGGATCAGTGTAGGTCTTTTCTTTTGAGTCAATATCTTCTGAAATAAAAGAGAGATGAACCCAACAAGGACACCAAAAAGCAAAGTTGGGGTAAGACACATGCCAGGCCATGAGAAGATAGGTCAGGAGCAGAAGCTCAGGCAAGGACCTTCCTCCAACAGGGAGAGAAACTTCCCCTATAGAGAATCTTGAATTTAGGCTTTTCACCTTCTAAGCTGTGAAAGAATAAACGTCTTTTGTTAAAGCCATCCACTTGTGATCTTTCCAAATTGAAACACTATATAACTAATGTGTGACCAGCAAGTGACTCCTGGAACCAAGTCAATTTCTCCTCTCCTTGAAGAGGGGTGATCATATGATGGAGTGGAGGTAAGGGATAGTTTTAGGGGATATTCCCCAGTTAGCCTAAAACAATCCCATCACCGCCCCCCCCCCCCAGCTGCTAGGCTGTTCTGACTCATAACAACCTTCTAGCAGGTCTCCAGGACTGTAAATCTTAGGGAAGAAGACTGTCCATCTGTCTCCCAAAGAGAGTAGATGGTAGATTTGAATAGCTATTTTGGTTAGCAGCCCAATGCTTTAAGCGCTATACTACCAAGATGCCTGTAGCCTAAGAAAGTCCAAGCTAATTAACTCTTTTGAACCTGTTTCCTTAGCCCTAACTCTAGAAAAAACTGGTTCTGATGTCTATCTTTAAGGTCTGTTTACAGCAGGGTTTCTATTTTATTTCTTCTTCTTCTTCTTTTTTTTACAGCAGGGTTTTGAACATGTGTTCCTACAACTCAAAGAATTAGCCCACTGAACATCCCTTCCCCAGACACACACTAACCTACATATTGTTGTTGTTGTTGTTGTTATGTGCCGTCGAGTCGCTATGATAACCTACATATACCATTACTAAATGTGTTGCTCTCAGCTGTTTTCTATTCCATTTTATTTCTTTTTTTAAAAAAAGTTTATTTCATAATATTTTGTGTGTGTACCATCAAATCAGATCTGACTGGTATAGGAGGAGATTGTCCCTCCTTCTCCAGCAGAGCGTCTGGTGGATTTGAACCGCATACCTCTGTGATTGCAGTGCAGCTTCTTGCCACTAGACCAGCAGAACTCCCTTTCATTTTATTTCTTTAAAAAAAAAAAGGAACTGATTTGAGAGCCTCAGGTTGGTTCCATGACCCTCTCTATAGTCAATCTTACCTTGTATTTATAACTTTATATTCCTTTTATTTTTTTCTTTTCTCTGTGTTCCTTTTCTTAAAGAATTTATAAGTTTCAAACCAAAATTTAAAGCCAATTCCAATTCATGGCAACTTTCCCTTAGCTATAAATCTTAAGAGCTGACGACTTCATCTTTCTCTTGTGGAAAAGGCTGATGGATTAAAACTTCAGACCTTTCAGTTAGCAGCTTAATATGTAGCCCACTATTACCACTAAGGGCTCCGCAGTTAAGACTATTTGTTGTTGTTATGTGCCGTCGAGTCCTTGCAACTCATAGCGACCATATGTACAACAGCCCTAAACCCTGCTCTATCCTGTGTCAGTCTCACTGCCTCTGACACACCCATCCCAATTACCCCAGTCACTGAATCAATCCACCTCATAGAGGGTCTTCCCTTCTTGTGCCGTCCCTCCACCTTACCAAGCATGATGTCCCTCTTCAAGGACCTGTCTCTCCTTACAACATGTCCAAAGTATGTCAGACGAAGCCCCACTATTTAGTGAGCAATTACTCCATGCCAAGTATGGTGCCAAATGTTCCAGGAACATTATTTCATTTAAACCCTAGCACAGCATGTCAGATGCTATTAAAAAAACACTGAACTGATTGCTGTCAAGTCCAATGGACTCACTGCTGACTGTCTATTGGGTTTCTAAGACTAAAAGTCCCAGGAGAGGTGATTGTAAGTCTTTCTCCTGCTCATCCACTGGTAGTGGATTTGTACAATTGGAGAGGCATGGTCTTTGGATTAGCAGTGCAACTCCCAAGGGACTGCTCCTTCAAAACTCTAAATGCTATTTTTTCCCCTAAATGTATTATAGATTCTATTTTACTAATATCCAGACAGACACATCAGTTGCCCAAAATCATACAACTAATATGTGGCATAGTAGAGAAGCTTGAACCTAGATGGTTCTAATTCCAGATCCTTTGATGTTTTCAGGACCCCTGTTTGGTTCCCACCACTCCTTCCTGGTCTAGAGCAACCCTTCATCATATTTTTGAGGCTATAAATTTTAACAGTGGGAAACGGCCCATTTTCTTCCTGCAGTGTAGCTGGTGGATTCAAATTGCAAACCTTTCCATTTGCAAACCCATAGCCGCTTGATATAGTGCCTGGTTATAAGCCTGCCAGGCACATTGGAAGCACTTTACAAAAATGCTAGTGCCACTGTTTCCGTGGTCCCTATTGGGTTCCTCTTGCAATTAACATAGGCTTTGCTCTTCACCGAGGCGAGGCATGCCAGTTCTTTGCCAGATTTAGCAAACAAAAATGAGAATGCCCAGTTAAATTTGAATTCAGGTAAACAGCGAATAATTTGTTAGTATAAGTATGTCCTATGCATTCTTTTGTTGGAATTTCCAGCAAAAGCATGCCTTCCTTCTAACCCCATTCCTACATCACATCCACAACTGGACAAGGGACAGAGAAGAACTGAAGAATTAATTAGGTATTGGCTGTTCCCACCAAGTAACAAAAAATAATTTCTCCCAAGGATGGAGAGGCGGTCCCAGAACTTGAATGTCTCTCCATACCCTTCATTTTTAGACTCTTTAAGGACCAGTGCTTTTCCAATTGGAGAAAATACGTAAATTGGGGGGGGGGGATATTCCCCAGAGTTCCAAAAGCCACACAGTAACTACAACTACCATCCCACCCCGACTGTCACGTTTACTATTATTTGCTATTAGAACAAATACTCATATGATGGTGTAGGACGCAAACTCGCCGGGAATGTTTTAAGAGAAACTGAGAGACTTGGAGGAGCCTTAAGGATGGCATACGGTCCCTCAAAAGTTCGGCTCGGACTCCTCAAGGGGCAAGTCACTGTTTGGAGCAGCTCCGTGGGGAACAGTCAGAGGAGCGCTGCAGGGAACCCAGGCGTCGGGGCTCCGGGAGGGCGCTCGCAGGCCTGCGCCGCGAGAGGGAGAAAGTGAAGCCGGGATTGCCACTCCCCGAGACTCGCTGGAATGCAGTTGGAGGGGGTGGGGGGTGAGCGGCGAGCGCGCTTGCTCCCAATCACAGGAGCTGGAGCCGCAGCAGCAGGAGGAGGAGGAGGAGGAGGGCTGCCTTAAGGAAGTACAGCATGAAGTTGCGGAGCTGAAACTCTCGTCTAGCTGGGCCGGAGCGAGCGCTGAGGAGCACCCCGAGGCCGCCGCGCGCCCCTCCCAGGGTGCCGGCCCGGCGCCCAGCGCCCGCCCTCCGCCTCGCCGCGCCCGGCGCCCGCGCAGCCTGGTCCAGTCCGAGCCATGGGGCCAGAACCGCAGTGAGCACCATGGAGCTGGCGGCCTGGTGCCGTTGGGGGCTCCTCTTCGCCCTCCTGCCCCCTGGAACAGCCGGCACCCGAGGTGGGTCTGCAGTGGGGCGGTAGAGGGCGGCGACGGGACTCCCGGCAGCCTGGGTCCCCGCAGAAAGCCCGGGCGGACTCTCCGGACCCGAACTTGGGGACAGCAGGGGCGCTCTGGGCAGCCAGACCTTGGGCCGGAGCGAGTGAAGGAAGGTGGGCTAGGAGGCAGTTACAAAGGAGCGCCTGTAGGAGTTCCTTCCATTCAAGGTTCAGGCTCCGGGAACTTGTCAGAAAACTTGGGGAAAACTGTTAAGTTATCCTCCAAAGGGTGGATTGTGCCGTGTAGTGTTTGTGTCTCCCTCTCTGGAGCCATCTCAAGCTTTTTCAGAGCTTTTCCAGTTGGCAGCCTCCGCCCCCAGACTGGACTAGGCTGGATTCCTTTGGGGGGTCCCCTCCGCCCTGTCCCTCCTCGCCGCTCCCCGCCCCCTACAGTCACTGGGCTTTGGTTACTTCTGCTCGGTGCAGGGTCGGGGTGTAGAGGGGGAGGTGAGGAGAGCAACCTGTTCAGCTAAAGCTGGGGCGGCGGAGTTGCCTCATCCCGGGGTACGGGCGTGGGGGGGAGGGCCAGAGGGTTGTTTTGAACGAGTTTGTTTAGGTCCGGGTATGTGTATGTGCGTGTGTGTGTGTGTCCGTGTGCGCGCGCGCTTGCTTTATGACTTTTGGAGAGCTTAGGGGGTGGCGAAGTGGTGTTGGGGATTTCGGGTTCTGTGCTTGCGGGGGGAGTTCCTGGGAGGAATTCCCGGGCAGTTTGGAGGAGGCGGGGAGAAATGGGAACACAGGGGTAAACTGAAGGCTGGCCTTTTCACGCCCGCTGTGTGTGGGAACGGGGAGATGGGGCAGCATGGCCTGAGGGGGACAACCGTAGGCAGCAATGCTGAAAGCCAAGATGTGCCAAGGTGTGCTTGGTGCTACCCACGTCCGCTCACCCATTGCCGCCTAGTTCAACTCACAGCGACCCTATAGGACAGAGTAGACCAGGGGTCAAGGCTGTAATAGCTGAAACCCACTGCCACCCCACATCCGAGGAGTTTTAACTTCTGCCCTCTCAGGTACAGACCAGAGCTTTAATCACTGCATCATCCGGACCCCCTCATACTGAGAGGCTTTTGCAGGCATTCCTTTCTTCTAATCCTCTGAACATTCCTAGGAGGAAAGTCCCACTCATTTGCCAGGTGAAGACCTGTCATTTAATGAGGTTAAGTGACAGCCAGTGGTGGTGGGTTCAGATTCGACCCCAGGCTGTTCAACACATCGGAAAACATCGTGCTAATTCGCGTTGAACAAAGACAACACTGCGCCCACCTGCCCTGGGCTGAGGGGAAGACAGAGTGCTCTGAGTGAAGTGTGTGGTCCCCGTGGTGCTAGGGGGACCCCCATCCCTCGTGGTGTTGGCGACGGGGGTCAGTGCATCGGGCTGAGTGAGGATCTCGGCTGTGTGCCTGCTCTGGGGTGTCTGAGGTGTCGTGAGTCTTGCGGTCTAGGTGTTTGTGTGTCTGAGCTTTGTGTTGCCAAACAGCAATTTCCCTGCCGACTTAGGCACTTGGCTGAACTCTGCCCTCTCAAGGAACTCCCTCAAGGTGCAGGGCCAGATCGGAGTAAACAGGCCAGGTGGCCTCACACCTTTCTGAGGAAAGAGGCTCCTCTTTCAGGGAAGCTCAGCCTCCTCCTCCCTGTTTCCCAGGTGGGCGTCGTCGCTGCTGCAGAGCAGAATGGTCCTCAGATGGCTATTGACTGAGTCTTCACATCTCACGTCTGTCCCAGCCCTCAGCATGTGCTGCTGGCAGAGATAGGCAATGATGAAATTATAGCATCCCTTCAGCTGCCTCCAGCCTCCCTATATCCGGGGGCTGGGGGCAGGGGCAAGGGTGTGTGTGGACAGGGGGCGGGAGGGAAGACCCAAAATCTCAGTCAAGATTTAGCTGAGACCCTTTGAGTTCCGGTTTGTTAAGCGGCAGCAAACACATTCTTTTTATCATGCAGAGTTCACATTTTAAATCCAGCATCATTGACCCAACAACCTCTTTACTCTGCTTAGGGAAAGTGATCTTATTTTAATATCCAAAGCAAAGAACAAAGGAAACAATAGACTTAAGTGTAAAAAGGGAACAAATATTGCATTCCAAAGTAAAATACAGAGCATTTTTTTAATGTTCTCTTGGTTTGAGATTTCTCATATTTCTACTGTATTAATCTCTCATCTTAAAAACTAACCAAAAAAATCTGTACAGAGTGCTTCTGCTTCCTATAGTTCAGGCTCTTAGACTTTCATTTAATCTCTGCAGCAGTCTTGCGGAGTAGCGGTGCAGAGAACACTAAAGTTTAGAGAAATGAAGTGACTTGTCCCAAACTCCCCAGCTTCTTAGAGCAGGCTGTAATAGTTTTGAAGGCATCCAGAGAAAGTCAGAGTCTTAATTTCATTCCATAGGTACCAGCAAAACCCAAATCTATGGAGAACCAGAGGGTGTAGAGATGCTACTCAGATTGGATTCTCAGCTGGTTGAATTTCCCTCCCTTTAAGCCAGGCTGGACACAGTGGGACCGCCTTCTTTCACTGTGAGGACACTCTCGGTCCCAGAGTCTGAGCTCTTCGCTGGGAGTCCACAGGTCTTCCCTGTCCAGCCCATGTCTGCCTTCCTTTTGTGCCCTTCCAGATGGTGGGGGACTGAGAGCTGGATGGAGGCAGAGGGACCACAGGGGCACACAAGGGCTGTGGGCCGGAACAGGTGGAATGAGTATCTGACCTGCTGCAGGAGCTGAAGGGTGGTGTGGAGCTCAGGATAGTTGTTCCTGCCCCTGGGGCGGGTTGGAATGATCTGGAAAGAGCTCCCTTTGCCCCTCCTCAGTCTGGGAGAGAAGCCCCTTTGGGATGACACCTCCATCTCAGACCAGGCCACCTGTCCTTCCTACCTCTGGGAAGAGAATGAGGGAGGTGTGTCATCTCAGGGGGGTAGGAGAATTATTCTAGCTGGAGTTGCCTAAGTTCTGTTTACAAAGCCTTGTCATGTTTACAGACTGGATTTCGGTTCATCATCTCAATTAACTCTCATTTAGCTTCTCTGAGAAGAGTAAGAGTTGTTATTTTATGATCCTTTTCTGAAGCCAAGTTCAGGTCAGTACATATTCACAGAACACCTGCTATGTGACAGGCATCTGAAACATAGAGATAGAGCCGAGTTAGCTCCTGCCTGGAGGGCCTGGGATATGGGACCCAGGAGGTTAGGAATGAGAAGCAGAGCTATAGTTTTCTGGCAAAGTTCTTGAGCCCAGGTCTGCTGCATTCCGAGTATAGCAGGTCAGCTCTGGTAGATGAGAGTGGGCTTTGGTGGCCCAGGGTTCAGGATATTGAGCTTTGGTGGGTTTAGGCAGATGGAGAAGTCGTCCTCATGGAAGCAAGGAAAACTGCTCGTTGGCTTTCATGCGTGTGAGGAAGAGCAGCTATTGGGGCTGGAGGCAGCTGGTGAGGAGAGAACCCATTCAGGACTGGAACCAACTGCAGACCATCAAAGTCCAGCAGAAGGGACAGGAAAGACCCTGGCCAGACTCACAGAAGGAGACACAATGACCTCAGTCTGTCCCTTTTGACTTAGAGACTCTTGACTAGAAGTCATTCACCTAATGTCCACTTATCCTGACTTAACTATCTTTATCTTGGGGAGCTGGAGAGTGGGGTTCCTTAGGGGCTAGTATTCTAGAGATGAATGCTTCCCTGTGTGGAATTAGGACTTTTTACTGTCAAAGAAAATGATGGGTTCTGGAATAGGAGTCCGGCTGCAGTGAAGATGGTGAGGGGGAAATTGGTGTGGAAATAGGGAGTGGGCAGAAGATGGGAGAGCCAGGATGAGAGGTGGCTTCAGGTTGCTAGAGTATCAGCCAGGTGACCTCCAGCTCCCCGGGAACAGCACTGAGGGGACCAATTTTGCCACCTGTCTGCAAACACTTTAAGAGTCTTTATCGGGCTCAAATCGGCCTCAAATCAGGCCACAAAACAAACTCACTAGTTGGGTGCGGCTACTGCCAGGCTCCAGCCCAGCTGCCCTGCCAGAGTCTTGTAATGTTTGTCAGTGGCACCCAGAGTATTGGGATGTATTGTGTGTATCTCTGTGTGATTTACAGTCAGGCAGACCTGAGTTCAAATCCAGCCTCTGTGATACACAGGTTTTGCCCTTCCGGGCCTCAGTTTCTTTCATTGCTGTCCCAGTCTCTGAGGATGGGCTGAAGCTCCGCCCAGAGTGCCTGCTGGGTACGCTCCTTGATCCCTGTTCCCACTGCTGTTTTCCTGTCTCCTGGTTGCCACAGCTGATGTTCTGGTGGAGAGGGCTGCAGGGTGTGGAGACTCCCCTGCCCCAGACTTTAGGGTCCCTGTCCCTGGGGCTTGGGCCTGGGGTCCCGGGCTGGAGACAGCTGTGCTTGTGAAGCAGCTGAAGCTGCCGAAGCTGGGGAAGGGCCTGGCAGCAGGGCGTTATTTTGGGCCTGGCCTGCCACCCTGGGCTCCTGTTTCTCTTGGGAGTTTGGGGGGAGGGGCTGAGGAAGAAGGGGGCGTTGGTGGGTGAGGCATAGAGACGGAGGCCTGGCGGTCTCTCTTTTCTCAGTCTGGGAGATGGATAGACCCTTGAGTTCTATTTCTGGTTCTCTGCTTCCCCTCCTCTTTGCTTCCTTCCCTTTCTTCCTAGTCGTCTGAGAATAGAGACCACTTCGGGTGTTACAAGGAGGCTCCCAGTTCTTGGTCACCAGCCCAAATGAGAACCTGGGGACCTTCCCTACCAGCTCTCAGAGACATGAGGGGGTCTCTTCTTACTCTCACAAGTTTTGACTTTAGGTTTCACATTGCTGGGACAACAGGGGCCCTGTGTCAGACTTCAAAGCTAACAACTATGCCCTCCCATTGTGTCCATGTGGTCAGTCAGAGGCGACTGTAGGAATTCCGGGCAGCTCAGACACCTGTGGGCCTGTGGAACTGAAGTTGCCCTCCACCTACCTTCTGCCTCCCCCCTCCACACCTTCCTGGGCAAGACGCACCAGTGATTCATCCACTTGCCAGAGCAGAAAAACGAGTTCAACTGGGCACTTTAATCTCCCCCCTGCTGGCAGGCATGGTGCCAGCTGCTGCCCAGAACGCCCACCTTACCAGGAGCTTGTTTTACCCCCTCTGGTATCTCTGATCTCAGTGGGTACTTCTGGTCCCAGAGATACCAGGCTGGGGCTGGGTGGACCAGGCATGACAGCTTTGTCTTTGGCTGGTGGTTGGCACTAGAACAGGTACACAGGGCTGACGTAGTGTCCTTGTGGCAGGAGTTTCGTGGCATCAATTCTGCCAGCTGGTTCTGGAGTCTTGCCCTGAGGTGCTGGCAGGGTGAGGGTGCCAGTGTAGGCACCTTCATAGTAGGCATAGTAGGCATCACCCAGGGCCTGGATACGAGTCGGCGTTTGGATGACCAAGGCTGGGGGCTGATGCCTGGGGGAATTCCAGAGTCCCTGCAGTGACCAGGCCCTTGTTTGCTACCACACTTCCATCTCTGGCTCCAGATGACCCTCCATACCCAATTTCTGGGTGGCATTGGGGAGCAGGGCATTTTTTCCCCCATGAGGTTGGCATGTGGGTGGTATTGGAATGAGCTGGGGAGAATGCCCTAAGTTTGCCTGGGAGCAGTACAGAGGGTATCCAGAGGACTCATGATTCATCTCCTGTCTTGAGGGATTTTTTACCCCTTGCTCTGAGTTGTGTCCTTTGGGACAAAGGGAGGCTTTCTTTGCCAGTCAGTACCCTGAACTGGGCAGGCAAATGCCATATGGCTGGCAAAGCTGGGCCCCTGGGATGGCTCAGGATGGAGCTTACTCTCCTAACTTCTTTTCCCAAACACCAAAGCTTTCTTCTACTGGGAACCTTTCAAGTGCAAGGGCCATGGGAAGAGGGGTCCTTCAACCTTGCTTTCTCCCTGAGATGGCATGGCTTGGAGTTGGGGGTAAGAGCAGGTGTGGTGGTCCTCTGACCCATCTCCTCCTTCCTGCCAGTGTGCACCGGGACAGACATGAAGCTGCAGTTCCCTGCCAGCCCCGAGACCCACTTGGACATGCTTCGCTACCTCTACCAGGGTTGCCAGGTGGTGCAGGGTAACCTGGAGCTTACCTACCTGCCTGCCAATGCCAGCCTCTCCTTCTTGCAGGTGAGACCCACAGATAATCCAGCCAGTCCCTTGTCTCCAGCTGGGTCAAGTTCTCTGCTTGTAGTTGGCTGGAAGAAGAGGTGCTTTCCCCCTGCATTTTGTGGTTCCTCAGCTGATGTCTAACTCCTATCGAACCTGCTGCAAGATTGTTGTTGTGTGTCCTCGAGTTGGCACCGACCCATAGCTGACACTCCAGTGGGTTTTGATTGCATAGCAAGAGACTGATTGTCCATCCTTTTCCTGCGGAGCAGCTGGTTGATTTGAACCGCATACCTTAGAGATCGCAGCGCCACTTCTTACCACTAGGCCACCAAGAGCTAGCAAAAATGTACTGCAGAATTGTTTGCTGTCAAGTTGGAACCCACCTACAGCTGACCCTGCAGTGGGTGTTCAGAGGCAGTAAATGCAGGGGAGGAAATTGCTCATATAATATGAGGTCCTCTGGATCTCTTTGAGTAGAATGCATTTGTTGTTCTGCTAGCTTTTTGCTCTTGCCAACACAATTACTCTTACTGCCCAACTCCTTCAGCCACCATCCTTCTCCTATTCGGAGTAGTGGAAAAAGATGGGAGATGTACGTGTTCCAGTTTTGTAGTTGATACACTATGTGGATGTGGTCTAGGCCTTGAGCTTCACTGGACTTGACTTTCCACATTGCTATCACCATAGTGACAGATAGACTGTAACCGATCATCATACTTTGCCTTTCCCTGTGAAGATCAAATGGGAAAATATGTGGACAATTATGAGCAAGACCGAGGGGATACCAACCTGCTGGGTTATGTTTATTATGCCAGAGAGAGCGCCCCCATGTGTACTGCCTGAACTGGTAAACCCTCAACAGCAGCTTGTCTTGGCCTTTCCTTTTACTGATGGAGAAACTATCATGCAAAGAGGACAGGGCACTGGCCAACACTTTACAAAGTGCTTTCCCAATCATGCAAGAATCTAGTGAGGCAGCGTGGCGGCACGTGATCTGTTTTAAGCATGAGCAACAGGATGGCTCAGGCTTTCTGGGGGCTTTGCCTAAGTCCCCGGGAGGTGAGAGGGTCTTGTGTGCTGGGCAGTGTTCCGAGGTGCAGACCCCTCACCCCCTGCCTTGCCCTGTTCCCTCCCAGGATATCCAAGAGGTGCAGGGCTATGTGCTCATTGCCAACAACCACGTGAGGCAGATCCCGCTGCACAGGCTGCGAATCGTAAGAGGCACCCAGATCTTCCAGGACAAGTTTGCCCTGGCCGTACTGAACAATGGAGACACCCCAGACCAGACCACTCGGGGGGTTGCTGCAGGAGGGTTGCAGGAGCTGCAGCTTCAAAGCCTCACAGGTGGACATGACTCATCATCTTTGTCCTCACTGGAATCCCTCTCTTGAGTAGGAGTTGATCATTGCGAACCATAGACCTCTAAGTGGCACCCCCTCTGAGTGGAGGCAGGCAGAGCAGGGGAAAGTACCCTTGTGCAAGTTAGCAAAAGGCTCGCCTTCTTCCCAAAGTGCTGCCTCTGCCGCTGCTTGACAGAATGTCAGCTGGGCTTTTGTCCCCACATGTGTGCAGTGAGCGACCTGTGTAACTCTGTGTGGCAGCCCTGGAGCTGAGTGTTTGTTCCCAGGCACTTGGTGGACACGATCTCTTTTTAGTCTTGCTTTACTCCTGCAAGGGAAGCACCGGTGTTATTCACATTTTCCTGAGGTGAGAACAGACCTGACAAGATAAGTGACTTGCTCAAAGTCATGGAGCTAGCTAGCACGAGGCTGGGTTTCACACCCCAGAGTCTCTCTTTAATGACTACACTGTGTGCACAGGGTAGAGGTGAGAGGAGTAAAGGAAGTGACGTGGGTCCCTGGACTTCAGTTTATTCATTTGTAAAATGGTAAACGTGGTGGGATGTGGTATCGGTAGGGCTTGGAGATGCTGAAGGTAACTTAATGGAAAACCTCCAGATGTGCTTTCTGAAGCCCTTTGATCCCTTAGGAGCCTGGTGTTATACAGAGGTTTGCTTCTCTCTTGAGAGGTGGGAGGGCGTCAGGGGAAGGCAGAGAGGATAAAGATGCTAAGAGAGTCCCCTGATTGCTGCCCACCTCACAGAGATCCTGAAGGGAGGCGTCATGATCCAGCAGAACCCACAGCTTTGCTATCCAGAGAAGATTTTGTGGACAGACATCTTCCATAAGAATAACCAATTGTCTCTGGAGCGGGTAGATACCAACCGCTCACAGGCCTGTAAGTGCCACCCTCTGCCTGCAGCCTCCTCTCCGACAGCCTGTATGACCCCCAAAGCCTGGCTTACTAACCCCGTTACTGATACCCCCCATTGCCACATTCTCCATTCCTCTTTTCCCCTTATCCTTCCTCTCCCCCTTCCCTTTTCTTTCTCTCTGTTTGTCCCTTAAACTCCACAGTCCTCCATCCTGTATCACTCTGCTTCTAGGTTGTCTATTTTTGGAGTCCCTCTTTTTCTGTCTGGCTATTCCTTCCCTGTGCATTCTCCCTCTTGTCTTCAGTCTCTGTTGTTGTGTCTCTCGCCGTGGTAACCCTTCCCTCCCTCTCTCACTGTCTCTGTTTCTCTCCCCAGGCAAGCCCTGTTCTCAAGCCTGTGGTAATTCTGGCTGCTGGGGAGAAAGTTCCAAGGACTGCCAGATCTGTGAGTCTTAATGGGGCCCAGAATCGGGGGTGGGGGGCTGCTGGGTAAGGTACCAGACCTGGGGTGTTATTCTGGGAGTGGGGGATCTTTATAGAAGATGCTGCCGAAGGTCTGGTGCCTCATCTTGCCCTTTGCCTGACAGTGACCCGGACCATTTGCGCTGGTGGCTGTGCCCGCTGCAAGGGCACACATTCCACTGACTGCTGCCATGAGCAGTGTGCTGCTGGCTGCACAGGCCCCAAGCACTCTGACTGCCTGGTACGTGCCCCCAGGAGGCATAAGGGGAGGGACACCTGCCTGGAGCTGTCCCCTGATCCCTGGGACACCAGGGAGCAGCAGCTCAGTGACCACCAGCTGCCTGCCCTCCCAGGCCTGCCTCCACTTCAACCACAGTGGCATCTGCGAGCTGCACTGCCCCACCCTGGTCAGCTACAATACAGACACCTTTGAGTCCATGCTCAACCCCGAGGGCCGCTACACCTTTGGTGCCAGCTGTGTAGTCACCTGTCCCTGTGAGTGCCACAGTCCCCTTGGTCTGGGCTACCTGCTTCTTCCTTTTATGGGAGATGGAAGGTGGTCACTCAGTTCTGGCTGTAATCTCCCAGGGCAGTCAAGAGAACCAGATTGTCTGAGTTCTTCCACTTACTGCCTCGATGATCTTGAATCACAGACCTAACCCTGTGCCTTCTTTTACCTTTCTGCAAAATGGGATTCTCGTAATGCTTATCACAGAGGGCTGTTGTGGGGAGTGAAGGGATGCCAAGTGCTTAGACTTGAACCTGGCATGCAGTTAGAATCTCTGAGTAGTCTGATCTTACTCTTATTGTTCCTGGGCCTGGAGGGCCAAGGCATGAACCTTTCCTCATCTCCTCAGACAACTACCTGTCCACGGATGTGGGCTCCTGCACCCTGGTCTGTCCCCTCAACAATCAAGAGGTGACAGCCGAAGACGGAACTCAGAAGTGTGAGAAATGCAGCAAACCTTGTGCAAAAGGTACTGACCAGCTGCCCCCTGGGTCTGGCCATAGTCTTTTTGCATACCTAGCCCAACTGGCACCCTCCTGGGACACAAACCTTTTCTCCCAATGTCTCTGGTCCTGGTCTGTCTCTGGTCATCCATACAAGTTCTCATATCACCTTCCAGTGTAGGGAGGGAGCCTGGGGCCTGAGGAAACGATGAGGAGAGGACCCAGGAGTTGGCATTCCTGACGGAGACCCCACGTGGTCCTTCTGAGCCCATGGCCTGAAGTGGACCCCTCACCATTCCCCCTCCTTCCCCACAGTGTGCTATGGCCTGGGTAGGGAACACTTGCGGGACACAAGGGCGGTCACCAGTGCCAATATCCACGAGTTTGCCGGCTGCAAGAAGATCTTTGGGAGCCTAGCATTTCTGCCTGAGAGCTTTGAGGGGTAAGGACCAGAATTGGGGAATGATGGGAATTAGCAATGCAGAGGAGCCAGGTGAGGACCAGACAGAGGGACGGCGGGGGAGCTTATTTTTTATAAATTCCACATCATCCGTGAACTTGTAAAGAGGTTAAACCACCCCGTAAAATTCCAGCTTATTCATAATAGTAGCTCAAAACTGGAAACACCCCAGATGTCCAGCAGGAGGTGAATAAACAAATACACGGTGCTACCATTAAACAATAAAATTCACCTCAATACTGAAAAGAAAGAATCTGAAGCACACAGCAAGCTGGATGGACCCCAGACACATTAAGATGCTCACAGCACATTCACTAAAATTAGAAATGTACAAAGATGAGCAAAGCTCCTATGCACGGGTGACATGCAAATTTATGAAGAGTTCCATGTTAAGAAACCCCAAATAAACACGGTGAACGAAGGTAGCCAGCGGCGAGACAGGACATATTGTATCATCCCATTTATGTGAGGCACTGGAACAGGCAAGCCACTCAGGGGTGATAGGCATCAGAACAGCGGTTGCCTGAGGGTTGGAGGACTGGAAAGGGACAAGGGAAGTTTCTAGGGTGGGCACAAAGGTGAGCGCATTTCTCAAAACTCATCAAAATTATAAACAAAACGTTTATTTTGTTATAAATTATACTTCAGTTAAAAAGTGGATTAATAAGGAAAGGGCCTGTTCAACACTTCTTTACCTCTCTTCCCTGTTAACGGTTGTTAGTAATCTGTGTGTTCTTCTGGAGCATTATACACATTGAGGCAGACAGGCAGGTCCTTGTAAACGTTTGGTTGGGGAGATGGTTTCTATGAGTTGGACCCTGTTGTGGGTATTGCTGGCACCTTGCTTGGATGAGCTAGCTGGTTCCAATAGCTATGGAGCTGGTGACAGCAACTAAGAACCCAGGCTTGGGAGCCAGACTGTCTGGTTTTGAAACCTGGCTTGCTCTCTCTCTTCATTGTGCCTCAGTTTCCTCATCTGTAAGACAGACATGATAATAGTCCCAGTTTCATAAAAGGTTATGAAGTTTGAGTTAATATTTGTAAAGCTTGGAGAACTTTGCGTCACACATAGCAGGTCCTCTTCTAAAAGGCTTGTTTTAATTCCATGGATAGATCTGAATTTTATTTAATAATTACCTTGTTTACTGGGAGGTTTTTCAGTCAGTTTGGGTTTTTGCTGTAAGAGCAAACAGTTCTGCCTTGGCTGTGCTTCTGGAAACTGGGGCCAGCATCTCTCTAGGCCATGTTCCTGGAAGAAAGATTCTGGATCAAATGATATAAGTATTGTTTTGATAGATCCTGCCAAACAAGAGCCTAGCCTTTAAAGCTTAGGATGGGAGCAGGCGGGTTTGATGAGCAAAGGGTTTAAGGAAAGGCATTAATGGGGAGGGAGGTGGCAGGCCAGCTCTGGGGGTCATGCCCCCTCTTTTTCCTTCCTGGGTGAATCTTACTCCTCATTCTAGGGACCCAGCCTCCAACATCACTCCCCTACAGCCTGAGCAGCTCAAAGTGTTTGAGACCCTGGAGGAGATCACAGGTGGGGTCCGCTTCTGTGTCCTGCCTTGCAGCAGGCTGGCTGTCCCTGGGGTGGGCCTGGATAGGCCTCATCCTGTCTCCATATACCCAGACTCATGCCTGCCTGCAGGTTACCTGTATATCTCAGCATGGCCGGAAAACCTGCCTGACCTCAGTGTCTTCCAGAACCTGCAAGTCATCCGGGGACGAGTTCTGCATGAGTGAGAGCCAGGGGAGAGAGGGTCTATCGGGAAAGGGCTTCCCTAGGAAGCTGTGGGCAAGGTGGCAACACCTTCCCCCCAGGGCACCTCTCCAGAGGGTGCTGGGGGCAGGGGCGGAGCTGAGTGGGGAGGTAGCCACCCTGCAGCTGGGCATCCCTCCTCTTATAGTGGTGCCTACTCCCTGACGCTGCAAGGGCTGGCCATCAGCTGGCTGGGGCTGCGCTCACTGCGGGAGCTGAGCAGCGGGCTGGCCCTTGTCCACCGCAACCCCCATCTCTGCTTCATACACACGGTGCCCTGGGACCAGCTCTTCCGGAACCCTCACCAGGCCCTGCTGCACCATGCCAATCGGCCAGAGGATGAGTGTGGTAAGACAGGGAGCCCAGTACAACACAATCCCTGTCTGCTTCATTCGAGCATGCTTACGGGCCCCTGGCAACAGCTTTCAGTGACTCGTGCAGACTGCCCACCCCAATGCACCGTTCCTGATTCAACTCTGGCTGGTGTGGACCCTTGGCATGGCTTCTAGCTGCATCCTGCCACATTGCCTTGGCACTTCTCCCTTCCTTTCCCTCTGTTTCTGCAACTTCAGAACTCTTATTATTCCTGCATTGCCCAGTGCCTGTGTTCACCCTTCCTGCCCAAAGCAAAACCCACAGCCCCCTCCCTGGTTAATTGGGCCATGGGGCCTCCCTTAAGCACCCCCTTCTGGCCCCTCCCTCCTCACTGTAGTGAGCAAGGGCCTGGCCTGCTACCCGCTGTGCGCCCACGGGCACTGCTGGGGTCCCGGGCCCACCCAGTGCGTCAACTGCAGCCAGTACCTGCGGGGCCAGGAGTGCGTGGAAGAATGCCGAGTACTGCAGGGGTATGCGGGGCGGAGGCAGGGTGGTGGAGGGGTGTGCGGGAGCTCCTCCCAGCCCCCTCACACCCATCTCCTCTCCCAGGCTCCCCCGGGAGTATGTGAAAGACAGACACTGCCTGCCGTGCCATCCCGAATGCCAGCCCCAGAATGGCTCGGAAACCTGCTCTGGATTGGTGAGGCGCTGGTGGACCCAGGGCTGGGTGGAGGGAAGTACGTTGGGTGGGCATGAGGGTGATGGGCTTGCCAGACACATGGGAGGTTGGTAACAAGCCACAGAGTATGCTGAGAGTGGTTAACATCCTAGAGCTGGCACCCGGCTCAGCCTGGGAAGTGGAGGAGAGGGAGGCTGGCATGCTGGTGGGCCCTGGAGCCCTTTAGACAGTGAGTGGGTCCCAAGGAGGCCAACCTATTGGCTCTGGCTGTACTAAGGTGGTGGGTGGCTAGGCCTGTGGGCCTAGGCAGCAGGCCATCTGGATTCAAGTCTAGACCTTGCTTCCAACTTCTTGTTTCCACATCTGTAAATTAAGTATTAGAATTCGTATTATAATTCGGGTGTAGCAAGAATTGAATAACATAGGAGTTGGCCCAGTGCCTGTGCACTGGAAGACTCTGAAGATTAGTTACTGCTATTCCTCATGAGATGAGTTGACACAGTGACTCCAGAAATGGGCTCAATTGTGTCAGAGATGATACGTATGACACAGGATGGGACAGGGTTCAGAGCTATTTACAGGGTTGCTATGAGTCATACTCAACTCAGTGGCACCTAACAACAATGTTCTTCAGGCTCATGTCATAGGTACTGCAGCCTCCTCTCTGCGCCTCCAGGTTTTCCTCTGAACCCCTACTGCCTGTGACACAAGGGGCTTTGCGGGTGGGCAGCTGAGGAGGGGCTGTGGAGACTGGGTGGTTAACAGGAGTGCTAGGGACACACTGGATCTGGGCCTGTCCCAGGCACAGGGTGATCCATGCTGCTGAGTGGCCATGAGAAGCACCAAGAGGATCTTGATGTCCTTCCTCCCCATCCAGGAGGCTGACCAGTGTGTGGCCTGTGCCCACTACAAAGACGGGCCCTTCTGTGTGGCTCGTTGCCCCAGCGGTGTGAAACCTGACCTCTCCTTCATGCCCATCTGGAAGTTCCCAGATGAGGAGGGCACGTGCCAGCCATGCCCCATCAACTGCACCCACTCGTGAGTCTCCGGGTTTTTATACAGAAGGGGGGATTTTTGTGGCAGGCACCTCTCCAATGCTCTTATTCTGAAAGAGGAGCAGCTCAACTTTTGCTTATCTGTAACTCTTTACTTTTTCATGTTTTAATTTTTTTTTGCAAAAGTAACACATACTGTTAAAAAACTTAAATGATTGTGCAACAATGAATGGGTTTCATTTTGGTTTTTTTTTTTAAGAGAAAAGCCAACTGGGGGGGTCCATAGGGAGGAAAATATGCAACAATGAGTGAATGGAAATCCAAGTTTTCTGTAAACTTTTATTAAAAACACAATAAATATGATTTTTTAAAAAACACACAAAAAATTTAAAAAAACCCTTAAATGACCTATTACAAAACCAAGTAAAAAGAGTAAATGTAAATGAATGTTGCAAGCATTTATATTTCCACTATTAATATTCTAAAATTTTTTCTTTCTGTTCTTATCTGTGTACGTACTAAATACATAGTTATAAATATTACTTTTTTAAAAAACTGGGATCACAGATCATATATATTATTTGCAAATTCCGGGAATTCCCTCCACTTAACAGAATAGTGCAATGTTTTTTTCATATTTCTTTTTCTTTCTCATTCATATTTAATTATACATGAAATGTCCAATTACATCCTTGTTATAAACATTTCCAGGACTCTAGAGATTGGGATGTTACAAAAGGACTCTGCTCTTTTGCTCCAACTTCCTCTCTTAAGGGAACAGATTCACCTTTTTCTGTGCACTTATATATTATTATACAGATAATTAAGTTGAGTTACATAAAATTACTATCAGAAAAACAGAAATTTCCTATACTTCACCCCAATAGGTAATCAAATCATCACTTGTATTGAGAGAGAGAGAGAGAGAGACAAAGAGGGAGAAAGAGAGCGAGGGATTAATATAAATGGGATCAGGGATCACAATTTACATGTGTTTCTCCACTTTGCTTTTTAATCACTTAATAATTCTTGGAGGTCCTTTCTTGTGAGCTCATAGATCTATTTTTGTTTTATTTTTTTATTAACTATTTAATCTCAAGCACAGGAATAAAATTTCTTCGTCCTCATTTCTATTTGAGGAGCTTTGGTGCTTAATAGGTAAGGAGCTGCAGAGGCAAGCAATTTCAATCTACCAGGTGCTCTGCAGAAGACGGGCGATCTCTCAAGTGATTCATAGACCCTGAAAACCCCTTTGAGGGTCAGCTAAGAGTCGATTACATCCCAATGGCATATAGCAACAGTATTTCTGTTTAAGTGATCTTATTCCCTTTTTATTGTTATTTTTCTTTTATTTTTTATACATTTTTTTGAGTGAAAGTTTACACATCATACTGGATTTCATTCATTCACGCTTCCTCTCCTGCTTTGTTTTCATATAGTCTACTGCAGTAGCATTCCATGTTCAAATGGGCATTTTTGTACCTGCCCCCTAGTGTGCAAGTTTTTTAGGATATATCTTGAGAGATCGAACTGCTGGGTTATAGGTCTTATTTAATTCGATGGACACTGCCAAACTGTCCTGGAGAAGCTGTCCGTTTATGCTGGACTCTTAGGAGGGGATAACTGAGCTTTCTAATCCTCTCTCTCTCTCCCCACCTTGGGGGGTGTGGTGGTGTCAGGGAACAGGAGGTGTAAGTTCCTAGCTAGGAGAAGGCATTCCCTGTGGGATTGTAGAATGAGCACTGGTAAACCTGGGCCCAGTTTCTGCCTTTGTCAGATGGCTGTAACCCAGCCCCACCTACCTCTGAGGTTGTTGTGAGCCTGGAATGAGTCCAGGAGGGTGGGCCCAGAGTTACTGAGAAAGTTCATTCTCTCCTGCAGCTGTTCAGACCTGGATGAGAAGGGCTGCCCCGCCGAGCAGAGAGCCAGGTGAGCTCCTCGTTCCCCAGAACACATCCTGTGTTGCCCCTCACTCCACTCCCCCACTACCCTGCTGTTGGGGTGAGAGTCTCCTGATTTTGACACCCATCCTCCCTAGCCCTCTCTTCCACTGTTGATTCCTCTTTGAATCTGTTCACCATGTGGCCCAAAGACCTGCTTAGGGGACGGAGGAATTGGGAACGGGAAGAGATGGCTACACTAAGATGCCCAACATTTCCCTCCCATCCAGTAAACTGTGGTGTCTCTTGAAGGGCACAGGGAAAGTCCAACTCCTAAGAAGTCAAGGTGGATTGAGAGAACTGAACAGGGAATAGTGGATTGTGAATGGGATGGCATGAGTTCCAGGGAGGAGGTGCCATTTGAGCTAGGCCTTGAAAGAGGAGCAGAATGTTTAATTGATATTCCAGGTAGAGAGGTGTTAAGGAGGGATCCTGAAAACGTAGTGTGCTTGTGTACTAGTCTGATGTATAATAATAGAGAAGGGAGTGACAGCTGAGTCAGGTTAGGGCCAGCGCTGGAAAGAATGGGCCCTGCCAGCCAGGCCACAGAACTGGATTTGACTGATGAGTGGGAAGCCTAGAGAAGGGTTTGGGGAGAGAAAAGCCGACTGGAGTATTTCCTAGGGAATTGTTTGTTCCTGAAACAAGCATTTATCAAAGGTGTGCCAGGCCCTGTGCTAAGCAGAGGGAAGAGGAGGATGCTGGGAGCTTCACATATCCTAGGATGAGCAGAAGTCTTGAACGATGACATTCCAGGCAGAAGGAATAGCATCTGCAAAGGCTGGGCGATGTGGGAAATCATGGCCTAAGGCTGAAAAAATTGGCTAGGACGTTAGAATCACTGGGTGCACAGCACATTCCTGGGCCCAACCCATTACCGCAATCAGAATCTCTGGGGGTGGGGCTCCAAATAATTAATAAGATCCCTGGTGATTTTCATAATGAAGTTTGAGAACCCTAGGCTAGAGTCATGGCCAAGGAGATAGAGATTTAGGAGATGTAAATGCAAAGCACTCTGGTTGCTAGACCAGGAGTTCAGACTTTAGTCTGGCAGCACTAGGATGCCAAGATGGGCTTTAAAGTAGGGAGAGAGGGTCAGAGCTGTAGGTCACCCTACATACTCCCCTTTTTGAATGCTAGTGACCTTTTAGTCTTCCCAGGGGTCCTTTTACTGATCCTGCCCCAGGCTAGCCCCCCAATCCTCAGCTTTGCCTCCCACCCCCAGCCATGTGACGTCCATCATCACCACTGTGGTGGGCTTGCTGCTCCTTGCGGTCCTGGTGCTGTTCATGGTCATCATGGTCAAGCGGCGCAGGCAGAAGATCCGGAAGTACACGATGCGGAGGCTGCTGCAGGAAACGGAGGTGAGCTGACCCGTGGGCCTCCCAGCCGGCCTCTGGGATGGCAGCCCAGCTTGGCACTGACCACCACCCCCTCACCCCAGCTGGTGGAGCCGCTGACACCCAGTGGAGCGGTGCCCAACCAGGCTCAGATGCGGATCCTGAAAGAGACAGAGCTGAGGAAGGTCAAAGTGCTTGGATCTGGAGCCTTCGGCACTGTCTACAAGGTCAGGGTCAGGGGCCAGGACCCAGTAGAGGGTGCCCCAGGGCATGGGGCAAGTGGAGGGAGGGGGCCATAGTAATTAGCTGGGCACAGGGAGTTTCTGTCCAATTTTGGGAGATGAACTGTTTGGCAGAGGGCAGAAACAGAGCGGGAATAGGAGGAAAAGGAGTGCTGTTGTTAGGTGCTATTGAGTTGATTACGACGATGAACAACTGATCTGACCCCTGTCCTCTCCTGTGCCATGCTCACAATCTGACATACTCAAGTCCACTGCTCTAGTCACTGTGTCAATCCATCTCATTGAGGGTCTTCCTCTCTTTTGCTTCCTCTACACCTTTCCAAGCACAATGTCCCTTTCCAAGGCACAGCCCCCTCCTAACAATATGCCCAACATATGTGAGATGAAGCTTCACGGTGCTTCACCTGAAGGAGCACCCTGACTGCACTTTGTCCAAGATGTACCTGGTTGTTCCTTTGCCTGTAGAGAAGCAAATTTGAGGTTCCCTGCAGGAGGGAGGGGTGTTGGGCAGTATCTCCAGAACTGCTATTTTGGCTGGGCCTTGTCCCTCACATCCTCTTTTTTCTTCCCAGGGTATCTGGATACCTGATGGAGAGAATGTGAAAATCCCAGTGGCCATCAAAGTATTGAGGGAAAACACATCCCCTAAAGCCAACAAAGAAATCTTGGACGTAAGTCCTGCAACCCTCTCCAACCAGGAGTATGGGGAGACACTCTGTGATCACCCTAAACCTTGAACCTGAACCTCCTCACCCAGTGAGCCTCGGCTGGGGTGTGTAATGACTGCAGTTGCCCCTGAGGGGGGTGTGGTGGTTGGGCTGTGTAACCGTCCAGACCATCTCAGCATGCGCCCCATCTCCAGGAAGCATACGTGATGGCTGGTGTGGGCTCCCCATATGTGTCTCGCCTCCTGGGCATCTGCTTGACATCCACGGTGCAGCTGGTGACACAGCTTATGCCATACGGCTGCCTTCTAGACCACGTCCGTGAACATCGTGGACGCCTAGGCTCCCAGGACCTGCTGAACTGGTGTGTGCAGATTGCCAAGGTATGGATGTTTGGAGCCTAGGCTCTGCAGGTGCCCATGGAAGCAAGCCCCTGTCTCCACACAGGGAGGGCCGGGCCTGGGACTTCTGCGGGGAGAGTATGGCGGGGCAGCATGGGAGTGGGAGGTACCAGCAGGTGACGCCTGTGATCCTAGGGCATGAGCTACCTGGAGGACGTGCGGCTTGTGCACAGGGACCTGGCTGCCCGGAACGTGCTGGTTAAGAGCCCCAACCATGTCAAGATTACAGACTTTGGGTTGGCAAGACTGCTGGACATCGATGAGACTGAGTACCATGCAGATGGGGGCAAGGTTAGAGGTGGAAATGGAAAGAGGCAGGGTGGACCAGAGTCTGGGCCCTGCAAGGAGCCTGAGAATGGACACTTCGCTCCTCTCTCCCTTTAGGTGCCCATCAAGTGGATGGCTTTAGAGTCCATTCTGCGCAGACGGTTCACCCACCAGAGTGACGTGTGGAGCTATGGTATGTGGCGAGGGAGGAGGAATGGATAGGAGCCATGGCCCTGGGGAAATGTTAGTGGAAGGATGAGAGCTGGACTTAGAAGAAAGGGACTGCCCTGCTTGAGGCCAAATATGATTCTTTGCCTGTGCCCTACCCTCCCGGTTCTCAGGAGCTGGGGGGAGCCTGAGTAGATCCTGGCCCTTGGCCTTGTGCCTTCCCTCTCTGTGGGGCCAGGCTTCTGTTTAGAGCCTCAGATTCAGTCCACTAATGCTCTCCCTGTCCACCCCCACCTCCTTCCTGTCTCTGCACCAGGTGTCACTGTGTGGGAACTGATGACTTTCGGGGCCAAACCTTATGATGGGATCCCAGCGCGGGAAATCCCTGACCTGTTGGAGAAGGGGGAGCGTCTTCCCCAGCCCCCCATCTGCACCATTGATGTCTACATGATCATGGTCAAATGTGTGTGTCTGGGAGGGCTAGCGGCATGGAGTGGGAGGAGGTCCCAGATGGAGGGGCCACAAGGACTGTGGTGGGAGGAGGTCGGGCCGGATGTGTGTGGACCTAGGTGAGAGTGTATTTAAAGGAACTTCAAAAAAGCTTGGGGCCTGTGGGTGATAATAGGTGCTTAAAACTACTAACCAAAAGGTTGGAGGTCGGAAACCACCTCAAGGCACCTTGGAAGACAATCTTGGTGATCTGAAAAAGCAACCGTTAAAATCTTATAGAGGACAGTTCTACTCTGATACACTTGAGTTTTCATCAGTGGGAATCACCCTTCTTACAGGCTCTAGTCTCCCTTTCACAAGAAAAGTCCCAACGAGTCCTAGTGTATCAGCTAGAGAGAAGCTTAAATGCACAATAAGACACTGGCCTGGGACCCCAGACACTGGTGCCTTTCCTGGTAGCTGAGCTGTCCAGACTTAAGGGGAAGTCAGAAGGGGCTCAGCACACAGCCTGGAGCAGGAACTAAGGTGCTACACTGCCACCTCCCCCAGGTTGGATGATTGACTCTGAGTGTCGTCCGAGATTCCGCGAGTTGGTGGCTGAATTCTCCCGCATGGCCAGGGACCCTCAGCGCTTTGTGGTTATCCAGGTACTGGGGGCCTTTCCACCCTGTCTTTGCCTATGATGAAGAGGATGCCCGCTTCACAGAGTGGGAAAGGGATGTGACTCCTGGGTCCCAGGATGCCAAACCCTGTCCTCGCCAGACCCGTCACCTCTCCCCAGCCCTCCTCGGGAGGCTACCCCCAGGGCTGGAGAGAGCCACCATCCTCTGTCTCCTTTCACTCCAGAATGAGGACTTGGGCCCGGCCAGCCCCTTGGACAGCACCTTCTACCGCTCACTCCTGGAGGATGATGACATGGGGGACCTGGTAGATGCTGAAGAATACCTAGTACCCCAGCAGGGCTTCTTTTGCCTGGATCCTGCTCCAGGTGCTGGGGGCACAGCCCACCGCAGGCACCGCAGCTCATCCACTCGGGTCAGTGGTCCTGACCACACAGTGGTGTGTGGTCTCCCCCTTTCTCCAATGTTACCCCATCCATCATCTCTCACAGAGCCCATTTCCTCTGAGGATTTCTACTACATTCCTACCTGTAACTCTGTAGTGATCTCATTCTTGATTCTCTTTGTCATGATCTTATTAGACCACAAAGGCTCCTGGGAACTTGACGCCCTCCATGGTGCCCCCTCTCCGGATCCATGAATGAGCCCCATCTTTACTCTCTTGTCCTTAGAGTGGCGGCGGCGAGCTGACTCTAGGGCTGGAGCCCTCCGAGGACAATCCCCCCAGGTCACCACTGGCACCCTCCGAAGGGGCTGGTTCTGATGTGTTTGATGGCGACCTGGTAATGGGAACGGCCAAGGGGCTGCAGAGCCTCCCCCTACATGACCCCAGCCCTCTACAGCGGTACAGCGAGGACCCCACAGTTACGCTGTCATCTGAGACTGATGGCTACGTTCCCCCACTGACCTGCAGCCCCCAGCCTGGTATGGAGCCCAAGCCCAGCTCAGAGTTGGGAAGCAGAGGGGGTTTGTCCTTTCACACTTCAGCCAAATGTTAAGTGGAGGTGGTGGGAACAGCAGGGACACCTGGGTTCCTTTTCCTAACGACACCCCTTCTTTACAGAATACGTGAACCAGCCGGAGGTCCGACCACAGCCCCCTTCACCTCTAGAGGTCTCTCTGCCACCTTCCCGGCCTGCTGGTGCCACTCTGGAAAGGCCCAAGACTCTCTCCCCCAAGGCTCTCTCTCCTGGGAAGAATGGGGTTGTCAAAGACATTTTTGCTTTTGGAGGTGCTGTGGAGAACCCTGAGTACCTGGCACCCCGAGGCGGGGCTGCTGCTCCATCCCATCCTCCCCCTACCTTCAGCCCTGCCTTTGACAACCTCTATTACTGGGACCAGGACCCATCTGAGCGGAGCTCTCCACCTAGCACCTTTGAAGGGACCCCGACGGCAGAGAACCCCGAGTACCTGGGCCTGGATGTGCCAGTGTGAGCCAAAGGCCATGTGTGGCTAAGGCTCTGCTGTACCCTCAGGGAGTGGAGAAGGCCCGTGCCAGGATGAGGCTGAAGAGGGCCCTCTCACCATGTCCAGAGGAGCCTGTCATGCTGAGAACCTGTCCTAAGGAAACTTCCTACCACATTCCCAGGCGGCTGAGAGGAGCCTAACCTGGCTGGAAGAGTGAGGAGCATTGAGGAGTCTCAATTATTCTTTTTTTAAAAATCCTGCCCCATAGACCTTAGGGGCCAAGAGATCACAAAGCCAGTCTCCTCATCAGAGGCAGCAGGCCACACTGATCCTCTTCCAGATTTCTGGTCAAGGATATCTTTGGGAGCTAGGCCTGTGAGGGGAAACAGTCCCAAGTGGATGAGGAAAGCGAGTTTCTAAGAACAAGAGTGACTCTTTCAGAGACAAGTGTCCCTGAGATATCTCTGCTTCCCTAGATGAAGGGGGAGTAACTGTGCTCAGAACCCACTTCTTGTATGGAGTGCTTGTTTTGTTTTTACTTTTGTTTTTTTATTTTTGAAGATGACATAATGACCCAGGGGAGAGTGTTGTGTGGAAGGGTGTCATGGGGTTGAAGAAAGGGATGTCACCTTCCTCCATGCCTGCCCACTCCATTTGCAAATACATTTTGGAAAACAGTCGAGTCCCAGCCTGTGTCAGGGAGTGTGTTATTTCTTACTGCTAGTCTAACTTGCATGCAGCTCATTTCCTGGGGAAGGAGCCAACACACTGTCAATCTTGAGGACTGTCAATTATTGAGGAGCCTAAATATTAGTGTGGATGACTTGGGGAGTTGGGAGATTCTGAAAGCATTCTAACCACTAGGTAATTCTTTAGCAAATTAATTCCTAAAGTCTCTCACCAGAATGGGGTCCTTCCTCCCTGAGTTGAAGAGCTAAGGGTGAGAGGGGGACAGAAGGGATAGGGGCTACTGGTGACTCATTTCCCTTACCTTGGCTATAAGAGAGGAGCTCCTTAAATCAAGAAGCAACTACCCAGAAAAAGCTTTTCCATCTAGAAAAGTCAGGTGGCACAAAGGCTGCCTTGCCCTTCACACTCCTGGGCTTGATGTAAACACATACCAATAGTCTAATAGTACCACTTTATTGCCGATAGCAGGCACTACCTGGGCTAAAGGAGAATAATATAGAACTACAGTGGCATCTGAGAAGAACTGCCAAGCTAAGGCAGGGACTGGGCTTGTGTCGGCACTGATCCTGGGAAGGGGGCATAAGGTGTCTGTGGAAATGTCCATGGGAGGGTTTCTCTTCCATCCCTAAGACCACAGAAGCTTCTCTTCCACCCTCTCCCCCACAGCTTCTGTTTTCTCCAAGGTGCGGAGTGGAGGCCAGGGTCTTTCAGCTACCAGGAACTTGGTGAGGAAAAAGAGACAGGAGGGAGCCCTGATCAGGACCAAAGGGAAGACCAAGACTTGGACCCCACGACAGCCAGAACTCAGGATGACAAGTGGTCACAGGATGACACAGGGAGGGCGGCTGTTGGTGATCTTTTCCAGAGGTTCTCCGTTACTGGCTCTGCGAATGGCCTCGATGAGCTAGAAACCAGAAGAGTAGAAAGGGCTCGTAGAGTTGTAGGGGAAGGGTGACCCAAGAGACCTCCCAACACTATAAATACTCACATCTTTTTCATAAGGAAAGCCCCCATTCTCTAGCTTGGAAAACACCAACTGTCCATTGATCTCTATCTCAAAGGCCCCTGGTATTAAAGAAATGGAAGAGTGAATGGTATGTAGGAGGCAGAAATCAGAGGAAGCCCTCCAATCCTTAAGACTTCACACTTGCTCCTTGTTCTCCCAAAAGAGACTAATTTTTGCTCCTTAAGCTATTTCCTAGGGGAGCTCTGGTGGCCTAGCTGGCAGAGTTGTGCTAATGCAAAAGCTGCACCTCTGATGATCTGATTCCACTACTCAAAGGAGAAAGGCAGTCTCTTCCCTTCCAAGGTTTCTATCCTCGGAAACCCAATGGAGGTTCAGCTCTGAGTTGGACTGAAGGGGAATATGCAAATGAAGTCATTCCCCAATCCAAAGGGGCGTAGTTTAGGGAGACTTAACCGGACTCCTTCAAGACCCTGTGGGCTCCCTCCTGTCCAAATTTAACACTTTTTTTTACCTATGGAAAGGTGCTCAACGTTGGTTAGACATTTCACTACGTTCCAGACGTCCTGCTAGACAGTGAATATAAAACAGCCAAAGTCTGGGCTAAAAGTGGTAAAGCTGGGATTTGGAACACAACACTGACTCAGCAGGTGTTCTGCAGGCCTCACCTGTACCCCCCAGGCGCGACTCGATCTCGATGCCAGGATACTGCTCCTTCACCGCACTCGCCAGCTCCAGGTAGGTCGCCTCAAAGCCACAGGGTTCACTGGGGAAAGGGAGTCCGCAGTCGGCTGGGCTGGGGTTTAGGGGAAAGGGCCTCCCGTGGGTCCACCCCTCCAAGACCCGGAATGCTCACCAGTACTCCACCACGATGCGGACCCCACTGCCCGGTTCCACCTCCCCGGGAGGGGGCGCTAAGGATATGGGTCCGGGTTCCCCACTCATCGCGGCCCGCTCCTCTCGGGCCACCGCTTCCGGGTGTGACGCGACGGCGGGAGCACGTGACGGGGCTGCGCCTGCGCCTACGCGCCCCCTGCAGCCCACCTGGTGGGCTTGCGTCCTCGGTTTAGAGTGAATCCGGCTTCGGTTCGGATTCTTCTGTTCCGGATCTAAAGCATCGTATTTCCTCCGCACCTAGTGTCCCCTGGTCCTCACGGCCTCATTTATTGTAATGAACTATCTTAGACCACAAAGCGCTTTCTAGCTTACAAAAAGAAGGGAAAGTGGTGGGACAAGTGGCCCCAGGGTTTGGAGATGGAGACTGGTATATATTAGTTGTAATTTCTGAGTTACGTACTTGATGGCATTTTAAAACCAACCCAGGTACAATTCATCTTACCACGGAAACTAAAACTATGTCTTTCCAACCCTGGATTGCCTTTTCCCACATTCGGCCTGGGGGAGCCTATTGTCGTTTTATCGCATGCATCCAAGTCACCAACACATCGCTCTCATCCCCACCTCTTATTTTGGAGCTTGCATCATTATTCCCATTTCTGAAAAAGAAGGCTGCCTAAATCCATCCTGCCTTATCTTTCCCAGAGTTCCACTTCAGTACTACAGTCTTCTTTCTGCTCTAGTATGCCTCAAACTATTTATTATTTTTTAACAATTTGATGATACATGGAGTCAAGAAACCACTACTATTCTCCAGGTTGGGGTTTCCCAGCCCTTTTTCTCCCCTTAAAATTGCAATTTGAGTGAAAGTACACAAAATATACTGGTTCCCCCCCCCATGAAATCATTGATATACAATGTTTTATATCATTCATTAAAATATTCATAATGCAATGATAGTTTTCTTATTTCCTACCCATAATTCTCATTGCATTAATGCTTCTATCCTAACCGTTCCGATCTTCAGAGCTTTATCCTTAGGGACATGCTACTCTTTTTTACTTTATATGATTGGCTAAAGAGCTCAACGTCAAGAATACAAAGATTCTTAACATTGGGCCAGTTGGCAGCAACATGATAGATGGAGAAGAGATTGAGATTGTTAAGAGCTTCAGCTTGCTTTCCTCCACAATCAACACTGTTGGTACCAGCAGCCAGGAAATCAAAACACTAATTACATGGGGGAAATCTTCTGGCAGGGACCTTTCCAGAGAACTGAAGAGCAATGATGCGTCTAGAGACTAAGATGCACCAGGCCATGGTCTTCAAAGTTACTTGCTATTATGCATCAGAGAGCTGGACAATGACTAAGGATGATAGAAGAAGAATTGATGCCTATGAGTTGTGGTCCTGGAGAAGAGTATTGAATATACCATGGACTGCTAAGAGAACAAACAGGTCCATCCTGGAGAGGGTGAAACCAGGCTGGTCCTTGGAAGCAAAGATTTTGAAGCTCCATCTGACATACTTTGGACACGTTGCCAGGAGGGACCAGTCCTCAGAGAGGGATGTCATATTTGCAAGACTGGAAGGGACAGAACATGAGATGGATTGACGTAGTTACTGGGGTAATGAATGGGGATAGGTAGGCATGTCAGAGACAACAAAATTGGCTCAAGATTATAGCAGGGTTTAGAGCTATTGTCCATAGGATCACTATGAGTTGTAGGCGACTCAAGGCACATAACAACAACTAGGGAGCTCTGTCTGCCTAGTGATAAGAAACTGCTTTGCAATCCCAAAGGCACACAGTTTGAATCCACCAGCTGGTTTGTGGGAAAAAGATAGGTAATCTGTTCCCAAGTGATTTACAGCCTCTGAAAACCCACTTGGAGGCTCAGCTATCAGTTGGTTTCCACTAAGGCACACAACAACAACAACAACAATTATAAGGATTGAGTTTTTCCCTGATTGGTCACCTGATAGGCTTGTCCATTTACAGGCTGCAGGTTGTGCCTCGGGGCTAGGTTTGTTTGAAGGCCAGGGTGTTTGTTTGAAGGGTGACTAAGGACCACAGTCTGTAGGATTCCATCAATCTCTTATCAGATCAGAATGCCTGGCATTTTTTATGTTTTGGAGTTAGTTTTGTTACATATTTCCTCTGAATCTATCCAGGATTTTCTACTGTGATCCTTCTTAGAGTGTTCAGAGGTGGTAGCCAGGGCAATTACAATCCAGTTTGAAAATATTTTCCCCACTCAGTCCACATTCCCAACATCAGTTCCAGGCAACCATGGTTAGTTATCTATCTGTATAAATTTGTACTTTCTGGACATTCCATATGCATGAAAGAATACACTGTTTATGGATTTTTTGCTCTGACTTCTTTCATTGAACGTGATGTTTTAGAGGGTTCAGTGTCAAGGAGTTGCACTGCCAACCCAAAAGCTAGTGGTTCAAATCCACCAGCTGCTCTGTAAGACAAAGATGGGAAATCTTCTCCTTTGCGATTTACTGCTTCTGGAAACCCACTAAAGGGTCAGCTACGAGTTGGTTACATTCCATGGTACACAAGAACAACAATAACAGCATATACGAGGCAGGTGCCCTAGTGGCACAATGGAAAGGTCAGGAGTTTGGACAAATGCAGTGGCTCTGTGGTAGGGAGACTTGTCGACCTGCTGCTAAACTTGACAACAACTAGCATCAAGAGTTTGTTCCTTTTCACTGCAAAATAGTGCTATTTCCTTGTAAGAATATATGACCTCTTGTTTACCCATTAGCAGTTGGACATTGAGTATTCAGTTTGAGGCTATTTTGAGCAGTACTGCTATGAATATTAATATGTTGTCATTGTTGTTATGTCATGTGCTGTTGAGTCACCTGGGATTCATAGTAACCCTATATACAACAGCTCTGAAGCCTTCCCTGTCCTGAGCCAGTATCACTGACTCCAACATGTGTACCCCCATTGCCCCAGTTACTGTATCAGTCCATTTCATTGGGGTCTTCCTCTCCTCTGCTGTCCCTCCACTCTCCCAAGCATGATGTCGTTCTCCAAGAACTGGTCCCTCCTGGCCATGCACTGAAAGTATGTGAGACGGAGCTTCAAAATCCAGCCTCAAAGGAGAAACTTGGTTTTACCCTCTCCAAAACAGATCTATTTGTTTTCTTGGTGGTCCATGGTATGTTCAAGACTCTTCTTCAGCACCACAACTCAAAGGTATCTATTCTTTTGTCATCCTTAGCCATTGTTCCTATTCTTTTGTCATCCTAGCCATTGTTCAGCTCTCTGATAAATAGCAAGTTATTGAGAAGACCATGGCCTAGATCAGGCACATCGTAGTATCTAGAGTGACATTGTAACAGCTCAGTACTCTGGAGAGGTCCTTGACAGCAGATTTTCCTAGTGCAATTTATCTTTTGATTTTTCCAATTGCTGGTGCCAAGAGTGTCAATTGTGGAACCAAGCAAGCTGAAGCTGTTAACAATCTCTTCTCCATCTATCATGGTGCTGCCAATTTTAATATGGACATATGTTGTCATTTCTCTTGGGGAGATTCCTAGGAATGAAATTGCTGGGTTCTATCAGTCAAGAAAGAAAAAGAAATGTTACATTCAAAAAACTGCAGTAAGGACCTACCTCTGCAAAGTGCTAAATTGCAAGGATATCTAATTAAAGACGAAGGTGTGCCTGATCTAAGCCATAGTATTTTCAATTGCTTCCTGTGCCTCTGAAAGTTGGATAATGAATAAGGAAACAGAAGAAGACAAGATAACTTTGAATTGTGGTGCTAGAAAAGAGTACTGAAGAGCCCATGGACTACCAAAGAACAAATAGATATGTCATGGAGGAAGTGTAACCAGAGTGCTCCTTGGAGGCAAGGATAGTGAAACGTCCTCTCACATGCTTTGGGCATGTTTACTAGAAGGGATCAGTCCTTGGAAAAGACATCATGCTGGCAAAGGTAGAGGGTCAGTGAAAGAGACAAAGATCCTCAAGGTGATGGAGTGACACAGTGACTGTATAATGGTTTTACTATGTCAGAAATTGTGAGAATGGCACAGGGGAGAACATGGTTTAGATCTGCTGTTCGTAGGGTCACTGTGAGTCTTAGTCAATTTGACAGCACTTGACAACCACCACCTGTTAAATGGCACATGGTTTTGTCCTGCTGTACACAGAACACTGAGTTGCATCTGACTTGAGGGTACTGAACAACAGTCATGGCAAATTTGTATTCAACTTTTTAAGACTCCACCATATTTTTTCAACATGACTGTAACATGTTGTTTTCACTAGCAAATGTGGGAGGATTCTAGCTTTTCACATCTTCACCAACTCTTGTTATTGCTTGTCTTTTTATTATAGCCATTCCAGCAGCTATGGCTTAATTTGCATTTCCTTTGTTGTTACTGGTCCAATGGTGAAGATTTTTGTTTTCTTGATGTTGAGATGTAAACCGTATTGAAGGCTGAAATTTGGTTTTGTTTGTTTTTGCAGGCTGGGAGAGGGGCTTTTTTTGTTTGTTTTGTTTTTATTTTAATGGAAAAATAGTTTAATATTTAGCTTTCAGAATATAGAAATATCTTAGAGAAATTGTTATTCTCCAGTGTATGTATATTGAAGTAATAGCTGCATAGATAATAATTATTAGAGCTATGGCAATTATTGCTCTTTGGCTATGATATACATTAACTTTTCGCACCCCCCCTTGTTGTTATATTGACTGGATTTTCTTTTTCACCCCCCTTGTTGTTGGCAGCATCAGTATGGATGGTGAAGAGATTGAGATAGTTAACAGTTTCGTTTACGTGGCTCCACAATCAACACTCTTGGTAACAGCAGCCAGGAAACCAAGAGACGAATTGCACTGGGAAAGTCAGCTGTAAGAGACCTCTCAAGAGTACTGAAGAGCAACGACATCAGGCTGGAAACTAAGTGCACCTGATCTGGGCTATAGTCTTAGCTATTATGTGCTATGCATCAGAGAGTTGGACAGTAAATAGGGATGATAGAAAGAGAATTGATGCCTTTGAGCTGTGGTGCTGGAGAAGAGTGTTGAATACACCATGGACTGCTAGGAGAACAAACAGGTTTGTCCTGGAGAAGGTGAAGCCGGAATGTTCCTTGGAGTCAAGGGTTCTGAAGCTTTGTCTGACATACT